TTATTGTTATAGAGATGTAGAGCTGTTTGACTGTTTCTTATTGTTATAGAGTTGTAGAGCTGTTTGACTGTTTCTTATTGTTATAGAGTTGTAGAGTTGTTTGACTGTTTCTTATTGTTATAGAGATGTAGAGCTGTTTGACTGTTTCTTACCGTTATAGAGTTGCTGAGCTGTTTGACTGTTTCTTATTGTTTTAGAGTTGTAGAGCTGTTTGACTGTTTCTTATTGTTATAGAGATGTAGAGCTGTTTGACTGTTTCTTACCGTTATAGAGTTGCTGAGCTGTTTGACTCTCTGTTCCAGCTGTTCTCGCTCCAGTTTCAGTTCAGCGCTCCATTTCATCAGCTTCTGCTTTTCCTCTTCTTTAGCTGCAGCAAAGAACAATCAAGCCAAACTGTTTATTTCACTGTTGAACTGTTCACATTCACATGTTTCAGGAAACAAAACTAATCTAACGTCACCTTCTTTGTAGGCGATGTAGGAATGAACAATAGCCAGGGTACCAGGCCAGGGAATGGCTTCTTCTTTCTTTAGGATCTGGAGAGAGAAGCTCAGAGTTGTCACATAGGCAGAGACTTAAAAAAGATTTGAGGGAGACAAGTTGAGCCGCCACCCTGTGGTGAGGCTGAGAAGGGACAAGCAATGGAGTGGATGGATGTGAGATGCCAATCATTACTGACACAATGAATGGGACAAAGGCACAAAAAAACAATACTGCATCATGTATATGCTTACAAAGGATTGAACAGTCCTAAAGTTCAGGACAGTGTGGCAGAAGGCCGGTCAGCAGAAGCAGATTTTACAGTCAACCATCTACTGGCTCTGATTGGCCCTTCTCCGGGCTGCGGTACCCCCTTCCCCCTGACTCAGGATCAGTCACGGCTGCTGTGGTTACCTGATCTTGACATTTTGGACAGATCCACATGCCTTTAGGAATGGTTTTCAGGGGTGGATCCAGGCAGTCCAGGTGATAAACACGAGAACACGTGTCGCACATGAGCAACTGGCCACTGCGTCTGCACACAGTGCAGAAATCCTCATGGATGTCTCCCTGTGAGGAAGAATTGGACCAATCAGTTTCCCTGCCCAACTGAGCCCCACCAACCATCCGTGGAGAGGCAGGGGGAGGCACCATGATCTGGCTTGGTTTAGTTTACAGTTGGCCTTGTTTTAATACCTAATGGACATGGTGTGTAAAGTTACATCTGGGAGTTAGAATGTGTTGTAGTAGTTCTTAATGGATGCTCTGGGCTACAGGACACTGTTCACTTTGTAAGGCTGAAAGTAAAAAAATCAACTGATGACTGATGGTTAACCACATGAGGACAACAAACTAATGGAAGTGTTGGTGGAGGTCTTGGGGTGTAAATGAGTGACAGAGCTACTGGGCCAATAAGGACTGTGTGTGACGGGGGTTTTCTGTCCGTCTCCCCCATCGTTACTTACATCCCCAGAGCTGGGGCTGGGCAGGGGGAGGGGACGGACGGGGCTGGAGGGGGAGGTCGGGGTGAGGCTGCCCAGCTCCGGGACGCTGCTGTATTTGGGTGGGCGACCTGGGTGAAATGAGACAGACAACAAAGACGGAAAACAAAGAAAAAAAGAAAGATGGAGAGGGGGGAAGAAAACAAAAAACAAAACAGTCTGTATGACATACCTTGGAAAGGGAGTCTTCGTTGGCTAGCATGAGACAGGGAGCGGTAAGGGAGGAAGAGGAGGAAGAGGAGTCAGAAGCACAGACAGCAGTGTTAGTGCAGGAGAGCCGAGCACTAGTACAACGTACTGCAGTCTATGGAGCGTTGTGTCAGATGTTAACATGCTTCAGTCACATGTCCAGGTCTAGAGGTTATGATAGGCTGTCACCAGGGCTGCAGCCAGCACGTTACAGACACCGAGGTCCATAACAGCCCCCTCATGAACCCCGCTTATGAACCCCTCTCGAACCTCTCATGAACCCCTCATGAACCCCTCTCATGAACCCCCT